TCAGTACATCATTGCTGTCTCTATGTGAACTTTACACTTTTGTATTTTATACTGCTGTAATAAAAAAAAGGTTCAATGGTCCCCCAACTAATGCTTAATTAGCAAAATCGACTAAATTTTATGGATTTCTGTTAGAACTATAATACAATAAAGATTTATTTAACTCTAAACTTTATACCAGAATTAGTAATTAGTGAACGATTTTTTTCATCCGTTTAGCCAAGATAAAGATATTATTGCCCAATATTTTAAATTATACAATATATTGACAAATTATATAATTGTATTATTATTAATAAAGTACACATTTATCGCCTACTGAGCATCATCCTGAACGTGATCAGCTTTCTAAGAATTTCACGTAATTTTATGCTGATGCAATTCGATTTCTTTGAAGAAACTTGATGGTTGTTATAAAAATATTTCTTCCAATCGAAAAGTGCCGATACAACAGCATAGATATTGAAATAGCACAAAATTATCATCATTGTTTGACGAATCGAATATTAAAGTCATGAAAATCGAAAATTTATTGTAACATTTGTGCTTAGTAGCCAAATATTTTTAAATTTGTGTGTGCTGTTTGAGATGGAGGAAGATATATAATATAGTTCAAAATTTTCTTACGTTTTTTATGTTTTATTATTATTAATCGTTCCATCTTACCAATCCTGATTGCGAACTCTAAACTTGTTAAGTAGCAGTAGGCGCAAGCTCCGCTTCAATGCTTTGTCCTCCAGATTCCGAACAAAAATAATAACGCGCATACACTCACTGACTCAGAAGGAAAGTCAAATACCAAAAAAAAATTCAACTAGCCCCCAATTTTAGGTCGAGTCATAAGTCAATGAAGGTAGAGCACAAAAAAACGCGTCCAAACTACATGGCGGATTAGCTGCTTTTTTAATTAAATACGTACAATTAAATTTGGCAAAACTCTAGTTTAATTTCCCAGGTCCTCTAATAAAATTCAATATAAACTAAAATCCATTATGTTTAGTGGTCTATTAACCAAATTATATCTTTCAATGGGTTATTCTTTTTATGTAAGGTCTTGGAAATGAAAAAGTTAGCGTCGCAAGCGGAATTCGAACCCAAGACGTTCGGCTCAATACGACGCTGCTCTTACCACCACTTGAGCTATCGTGACTTCGATTCACTCGGACACCAACTCGACCACGGTTTTTTCCTTTCCTTGATCAATTTCTTCATCTTTGAAAAAAGTAATTAAAAAAGCAATTGTACCACCAAAAAGCATAATAAATGGAGTACGTTTGCTGTTATTTGCTGGTTTCTAGGTTTGGAAATAGTAGATTACAATCACCATAGTAAGTTTTTCAACTTTGAAAAAAAATTTTTTTTTTTTTAACGATGGTTTGCAACAGCAGAGGTCATAGAAACCCTCAGAATGCCGGTGTTCTTGAAAAAAAGCCTATTTGTAAGTATGTCGGGTTCGAATGCAGGGCCGCTGGATTCGAATCCGGGAACCGGGGTCTCAGCTGAAATACTCTGTTTAGGAGGTTTTTATCTGGCTACAAATGTATACACATACACATTATACATATATAATGTCAAAAATTATAATGACGTGAAGGCTGGAAAAGGTAGTCACCCAATGACGTCCTAACAAAGACATATCAATATAAAAAATAAACACCGAGGCCCACAGCGTGGCGACCCTTACCGCCTTTTTCCCTCCCAGGGGGGTGAGCTCGTAGGGTAGTAAAGATTACGTCATACACCGCCATCATAGGTAGTCTAGCACTGTTGCGACTGTCACTACGATAAAGAATTAAAGATAGTCTGTGGAGAAAGCATGATCCAAAAAGAAACTTAGAAATGTTTACGGGTAATTCAGCAACAGCATATATTTACAACATTGATATACCAAAACATATTTTATATTGTTTTATATTCGCCCTAAACATACATGTTTGCGGTAACCAGTTTCATTATTTTCCCGGGTACCGAGTACTAGAAATGTAAAAGAACTGCCGGTCACGGATGTGTTAATTATATTTAACTCTTAATATTATACTAAAATCTCTTGGGAAAAATGGATTAAAAAAAAACCAAACTCGAAGTAATATTGTTATATAGTATGTAATTTATTTACATAACTCTTAATAACATTTTTTTAAGTTGGGTATTTCAACTACGAGGTTATATGAACCCTCGGGGTAAGATTATTAATTTTTATTTTAACCATCCATCCACTTGATCTTTATGTATGATTTTGTATATACACTGAAGAGGCAAAAAAAGTGGCCACCCTAATTTTTTAAAAGTAAATATTTGGAATCATTATAATTTTTATTTTTTGTTGTTAACTGGATATTTAAAAAAATAATAAGATATACCTAGATTAAAAAAAATAAACTGAATAAAACAATTTTAACAAAAATGTTGCTATGGGAAGAATGAGGAAAATATTCAATTCAGTATGCTTACCTCCTCTAGCGTTGTCACCGCTTGCTTTCACGTGGCATCGATTTCATGAGGTTTTAATGTTATGATGGTGATGAGGACACTAGAAAGCTGGATTTATGCTTCCCAGGAACTGCAGTCTTCTGGCTTATTAAACCTTCCTAATTCCCTAGTTCAGTGCAATTGACTCAATCATTTATCTCAGAATTAGTTCATTGACTGTTGTTGCGACAATTTCGTTCCCTAGGTTTTTTTCTGCCTGCTAGGTTATGTCTACATTGTGCCATTGCTTCACATTTGAAGATATATGTGTGGCTGTTTCTTCTTCCTCATTACATAATCTGCAAATGGGATCATTGTTATATATGCCCATGTTACGTAGATGTTTTGTCAGGTACCAGTGGTTAAGAGTCCTATCACTCCTCTGGTCTGGCCATCTCCAACTGCAGTGGTGAGTTTGCTAGCCTTAGTGAGGGTTGTTTTAACATATGTTTATTGTGTCTAGCACCGCTAGTTTATCCATTTCTTTTGTTTTATTTGGATTCTTTCTTTGATGGAGGATCCTGTACTTGTTTTTGTTATTCCAGGTATAGGTTCGGGACCTTCTGCAGATCCTCCTCTGGCCAGTGTCTGCTTTTTCATTACCCAAAATTCCTTTGTGCCTGTTACCCAACATATCATCAGGTTGTTGTTTCCCCAGGTTTTGGAAATTCTGAATGCATTCACTGACTAATTTTGATGTGATTTTTTACATCCTAATGCTTTAATAGCCGCTTGCCTATTCGATTTTATGAGCATTTTTTTTCAGTGTAACCTCTTTTTAAGATTTTCTAGGGCAGAAGCATGATGGCATTTATTTCTGCTTGAAGACCAAAGTGTACTTTTCTAATGAGTTTGATTGCTCATATTTTGGATTTGTACAGAAAACATCCGGTCCGGTTCCTTCATTTGTTTTGGAGTTATCTGTATACTATATCAATAGGTTTTTAATGTAATGCTGTGGAATATTTTCTTCCTGTTCCAACAGCACCATTCATATTTCCTGCAAACTCTCTGGCATCACTGGGCGACTTTTTAACCTCTCTGAAAACTTGTCCCAAAGATGTTTGATAGGGTTTACATTAGGACTACTCAACTACTACTGCTACTGCGGGCCACTCAAACATTGAATTGAAGCCCATTCCATGTAGTCACCAACGATCCTAGCTGTGTGAAGCCTTGCATTGTCATGCATTAAAATAGAACTGTTACAATTAATGGCATTAAGGAACAACTAATTCCAATAGCATGTCTTCAATGTGTCGCGCAGCTGTTAGAGAACCCTTTGTGAAGATCAAGTTTGTGCGATATTCTATAGCACTGTCTGCCCATACCATAACACCACCACCTCCATAGCTTCTCTGGAGTAAAAATGTTGTGGGGATATATTGCTCGCTGTTTTTCCCCAAACCCTCTCTTGGCTATATACCTCAAATAAAACCTGACAGTGGCAGGCCTTCTAACACATAATCAGTTTTACAGTGTGAAAATTACATTAACATTTCTAACAGTTGAAGTCATTGCTTGATGTCAACTGCAGTAGAATGTCCATTACAGAGTATATTCGAGACAATAAACATCATCTTTCTGAGATGTAATACAATGGTGACCATGCCTTCTTGTGTAACCCCTAACCGTAAACCAGATCTGAATAATTTAAAACCATTACTCAAACAAATTTGAAACTTAAAAATGGTACAACTTATAAAAATCAAATCACCGGAATGTTAGAAAGAAACTTTCCAGAAAAATCAACAAAGGAGAGACTAACTATTAATAGACTTATTAAAATCATAAGTGGAGATTTTGTTTTATTTACTATAATGCTTTAAAATGGACCAAATATTGTTGCAAGATCTATTCTTGCAAGGAGGTTTATCTAAGAGTTAATTAAAAATATTAACAGTAGCCAATTTTTGCCTCTCAGTATAGTTAAGACTATGAAAGCTTATAATTTTCGTAATGTCCAACCTCTTAAGTACACCAAATTGGCCAATATACCATTTTTACAGCAATTTTAATGTCAAAAATTGTGTTCTCCCTCTTTTAAAATCTTTTCTTGGCATTATCAACTGTAGTCAAGGTCTGACTCACTTCTGCCTTCAGATTTGAATATAAATTTGCATATGACAGTTTTCTATCAAACTGCACAATTCTAAACAAATAGAGAGTTGGAAGTTAGTGATTTTTTCTAACACTGTGTTAATATAATTTACTTTTCCTCTCCATTCTTCATTCCTTCTTCATCCTTCACAGTGAAATCTCAATTTTCATTTTTTTTAAATGTGTAAAAGCACAAAATGTCAATCATATTGTATATATGATTATGCACACACACAAGACTTAATGACGAAAATATTTTTTAATTAGAATCTGACCAAAACATTATCTGTTGAACTGAAAAAATGTATACTCAAAAAACAACATACAAATCTAACTAAACTTTAAATAAAATGATAATGTGCCCTGAATTGTCTGAATTAAACAACTACTCAGGGGACATGACAGATTTTTAGATAATTTGATTCTGGAGATAAGCTGACCAATTAAAATAGTTTATTTGTTTATAAAACAAGATACAATGATAATTTGATAGTCTTACATATTAAACTCAGGTATAATTACTATAATAAAACATTTAAATTTCTTACATATCAAACAAACACAGGTATAATTACTATAAAAAATTATTTGAATTTGTTTTTAAACATTATATATAATAATCCTTATAATAAAAACTTACAATTTCAATGTATGAATTTAAATAATATTAGTTACATGTACATAATAAAATTGACTTCTTGGTTAACAATTTATGAAGATTGCTGATTATCCTTTGAATTTTTTCCCCAAAAAGGTACATGGGAAAAATCCAATGGGTAATGGCTAAAATATTCAAGATCGGGAATACAAAAGTTTGTATTTGAAATCAAATCTCCAAAAACCGTCTTGTTGCTCCCTCCATAAAAGAAAGATCCCCAGAGGCTTGACAAGAGTACGTCTTTGTGAGGATGTTCTCCTTTGAAAATATTTTCAGCTTTTGCTTCTTCAGCGATGGCGACAGTGTCGACTGAATTTAACAACAAGTCACTGAGTACGCTGTCACCGAAATATACTGAAACAGGTTGCCTTCCTAACTTTTTAGCCAGTTGCTTTTCTATCTCACAGTAAGATCCACCTGTGTATTCTCCAGCCAAATCAAAAGGTTTGTTCTGGCAATCTGACGGACAGTTGACGCTCTTGAATGGTGTGGTGCATTCGAAAAAAGTAGGCTTGTGTGCCGAATAGACGATAAAGTGAAAAAGATCTTTCCACTGTGGTCCCAAGCCGGTAGACCCAACTCTATCAGCAGTTACTGCATCTGATGACGTGATCACACCTGTACATTTTGAACCTTTAAGTGACTTGAGCCAATCTGCTATTTTCTGGTCCCTTCTGTAAACAAATAAATCAATGTTGTCCACCAAATGTTTCTTCCAATTCGATCCAGTATTGTACATAGTGATCAAAGAGTTAATTGTATCTGGCCATGCCTCTTCTACATTGCCTGGACACGAATCAACCGCTTTAGCATACACCAGAGGAAGAGAGATGTCTGTAAAATCAGAAGACGTGTAAACATTTGTCTTCGATAAATCTCCTCCTTCCAAAACCATCCTTCTTTCTTTGGCAATGTCCAAAACGTGCGTCCATTTTTTCTCCGGTCCGTAAATCCGTTCGATTTCCTTTTCGTCAAGTACATTCGTCCCGTGCGTGGCTCTGTATATGGAGCCTTTCTGGTCAGTCTTCAGCAGATTACCTCGCTTCACGTCCATCATTATACCACGACCCAGGAACTTGTAGTCCTCAACGGTTATTTTCCTTTGAATATCTTTGTAATTCTTCTCTTTCGACAGAAAAGCGGACATGAAATCGTATTGACTGTTTATTAAATAATTTAACTTGTACATGCACAGTGTGTTGTCCAAGTCGAAACCCAAAAAGTCATACCTGCTTAGGTTAAAAAATTTCTTTGCCGACATGGCACGAATAAAAATTTTCATCAAGTACAAAATATCTACCCAATTCGAGGTCAAGCAAATAAACGTTATCAAACGTATAATAAAACTTTAAAATAAAAATTATACCAACACATAAACAGAAAAAGTTGTTTTATTACGGCCTGTCTTTTCCGGGACTTGACTCACGAATGAAGTGTCCAACCCACCTGTAAGTCGCCTTCTTGCCGTTTCAATAACTACTAAGTCGAAAACTCTAAACTGCAAGAGCAAGGCTACTAGATAAATCCCAAATAGAAGGGTGGCACAATTTGTAACTTACTATTTTGCGCCAACTTCATGGAAAATTTAAAAAAAAAAATTTAATTCTATTTTACTCCAAGGATAAATCAACCAAACAACATATTAAAAAAATAAGAAATGTAAAAAATCCTCACATTAGTGCATTTTTGACAATATTGGTTGAAATTAAGATGCTTTCTCAATCAATATGTACGATAAATTTACAAAATCAGAGTGTGCAAAATATGACTAGGCTAGGAGAAAACTCCACCTGGCCAATTATCGGAGATTCTTGGGGGACAATCCTTGAATATAGACAATTTGTTTGCCTTCCTACAAGCCAAGCAATTACTGTTCAAAATCTAGATTATTCTAGCCAGCTGGGCAATGAGTGAGCTTTTTGGTTGCGGGAGCAGTGGGGCTTGGTGGGCATGAACATTTGCAGTGGCATGCACACCATGATGATCTGTTCAATAAAAATTAAGTACAAAGTAGAGGTGCTTTAGTTTTTGGAGTAAAGGGAATGCCCAGGCGGGTGCTTGCATCATCAGGGTTCGCCTCCATGACCCGGAAATGCTCAGCTACCCTGTCATAAAGTATATAAGAATATGAGTGTTAGAGACATTTTATTAAAACATAACTTTTACCAAATTTTTCTATCATTTCTAGGGTCACCAGCTGACAAAGGGGACCTTGAGGTTGGAGATGAAATCCTTGAGGTCAATGGTAAATCCCTCGAGGATCACACACACACTGAAGTCATATCTCACATCCATCAGGTATGTAAAATTTGTAATATAGTTTTTTTTTATACAAATAAAAAGCCCTTTTAAATGCAAACTATCAATTTAGAAGAAGATTATGTTTTTTTTTAACAATTTATATTTAAAACAACCTTCATCAACTTCAATTTCAATTATAATTAATACCATACTTTTTTCTCCATTGGGTTCGAACCCAGGACCTTAACCTTTAAACACACTATTATAATTACATTGGAATTATTTAATTATGAAACTCGAGATGTATTCTTTGTTTCTTTGATTGTCTGTGATTTTGGGAATTTTTAAATTTAAAACTCAAAATGTCAACTTTATAAGACTGTTGAATATTCAATGGACAATTAAAAGAAAATAGTACATTTATTGAAAGACTGACTCATGAGTGGTTTTCAGATCGAAAAAGTTATGAAAGTTTAACTTGAAACCAAATAAGATTCATTGTTCAGTTTTTATTTTTTCAATGAAATACACATGAGATTTGGATTTAATATTATAATAAGCCAATATTATTATAATAAGTTAATATAACTACTTTAGTTCTAACAACACTCAAAGGTAATATTTATATAATAATATATCTCTTATTTATCATTTTAAGTTTTAAAATCAAACTTGAATCCTAAATAGGGCACTCATTTTTAATTTTGGTTTTCTAAGATTACCAATTAGCCAATTAGCATAAATACACTATTTGAAAATGCATATAAATTAAGAAAGATCATTCTTGAACAATAAAAATTTAATTACTCAATGCCCTCCTGTATTGAAGTAATTTCATTAAACTTTTATCTTTAAATTTATTTTTATGTAAATTAAATTCATAAGATCAATAAAAAAAAGTTATATTTTTTCAATTAACATATGTCAATTTATAGACATTTAAGATTATTTTGCCCTGATGATGTCCTTAAAATAGGTTAGAAAGTTAAGCAGTAACAATTGATATTGTTTTTTTCATTCAGACCATACCACGATTCAGATTATTTGTGTGTAAAATAGTGGTTATACACTCAACACTTTAAACAAAATATTTTTTAAAATACAAATTCAACAAAAGACAATAATTTATAATTCTATTTCTGGAAGGTTGGTGGGTAATTAAAACCAAGTGTTCTGTGGCATACAATGTTTTACTATAATGAATGTTTTGGGCCCTGGCAAGTAAAATAAAGATTAAAAAAACTAATTTATGCATATGCAACCGATACTTATCAGATCAAACAATCAAAAATTTAAACAATTCAATGAACTATTTACAAAATTTTTTTTGAATCCATTTTATTTTTGCATTTTCTACTAGGGTTTGTCAACTTATTACTTTAAAAAAATAATACACTAAACAAAACAATTTTTTAAAATTTATTAAATATATTTTTACTGTTAACTTTTTTTTTAACTTTAGCAATACATTGATATTTTTTCTTTACTGGTTGTAATTTTGAATTGGTTTTATATTTTTCAACTGGCATTTTGGGTTATTAAAATCTTTAATTTTGTTTTTCAACTGAAATATTTCACAAAATTTTTCATACATTAATAACATGTTATTAGTTATAATATCCATTTGTCATTAGGGAATCATCAACAAAATGTGTGATTATTTACTGTTAGGTTTAAACATATTTAAGCATTGCTGTCTTTTCAAAATTCCTTGTTAAAAGTTGATTGTTTATTACTGGAAAAAAAGTTGTGTTGGGATGTAATTTTTAATTTTTTGGCAAAAAAAGGGTCAGCTAGTGTTAATGGGTTGTAAGTGTCTTGTTGTTGCTTGGGTAACTTCATTTCTTTTTTAATTTAATCCATTAAAATATTCCAAGGTGTTCTGATTTTTTTTTCAAAAATAGAATTTTTTTAAATAGTGAGATTTCTCCATGTGGTCTGCAGGATGATGAAGTTTGGTGAAATCCATCTGGTCGGTAATGACCAAATTACATTGGTATGCATACATAGCAAAAAGTTAGCTAAAATTAGCCAAAAAAAGTTGCTTTATTTTTTTCACCTTGGCAACTATCTAAAATTACTCACTATTTAATTTTTTTTAACGAATTAGAGTATGTTTATTTACAATTCCTTTTTAAAATTTTAACTTTTGTGGGCCAAATTGGTAAATATTTGAGCAAATAAAAAAAGCACATTTTTGTGCATACTCATGTTTTTAACAAATCCAAGTAGTTCCAATATTTAAAAACAGTGAACTGTTGAGTTGTACCTTACCTTTTATCAGTTGGGTAATGTCAATTCGTTCTCACAATTTAATTAAATTAAAATAGTTTTGCATGTTTTCCCATTGGGTATACATTTAACAGAAAGTATGTCAATGCATTAACACATTTTTTTAAATTTTTTTGTAAAATTCCACTATATTTTTGTATTTCTTTTAAAAACTGCAAATATTTTACAATCCTAGGCTGGTGGATTGTTACTTTTGTTCCTTGAGTAATGTTTTTCTCTATCCTTTTAGGCAATTTAATTAAGTAAAAATTTGCCTATTGGCATTATTAAAACCATACATGAAAAATTACAATGTTTAGTTTAAAAATAATTAACAATTTAACATTAATCGTTATAGTAATTTTTTTTAAGAAATTGTATATCTAAATATTTTTTAAGGTTCTCCCTAATTTTGATTAATTAATGGGGAAAAGCTATTGAGACAAATTAATTATTAAATTATTTTTCTGACACTACTTTTTTGGATTGTAAGCAACATAAATTCCTTTGTCAAAGTTAAACAAATATTTACTTAATCTAAGGTAGATGAAAAGTAAACTTAATTTCATTTTATGTAATTTGGTCGTTACCAATCATTTTGGTCTGCCTATCTTTGCTGGGTTGGGTCCATTCACACTGATGATAACGAAATGATGAAATGCATCTTCTGACAGTCCAACCCAGCACAGATAGACAGACAAAAATCATCAATCCTGACCGAATTGCAGGTTCATCACTCTGCAGACAACAGGAGGAAATCTTACAAAACTCATTTTAGTTAACAAATGATATATTTTTATAATCACCCACTAATCTTAAAAAAAAAAAAAAAAAAAAAAAAATCAAGTCTGAAATTATTTTTTTCTTTTTATTCTAGTATCAAACCATGTCAAAATTGGATAAATACTTAAACAAAGTGACTTATTGTGGTGTAATGACTTTTTTCCTTAGGAACAGATTATCTGCTAACCTTTTCTCCATTATTAAAAAAAATTAAGCATAATAATTAAGCATCACAAGTTTAATTACGCTTTTGGAAGTGTTATGTTTTTATTAAATTTAGGGAATTAATTGAGAAAAAGTTAATTTAAAAAAATAATAATAACCTAGTAGGTTGTAACCCTCTTTTTTTGCTTAGGTATCATAGTTTCTTTTTAAGATAATTTAAATCAGTACAAATATTCCAAGGTGACTGATTATTTCTTCACAATAGGTTAAACAGTTAAAAAGTGAGATTCTTCCATTTGGGGTCTGAAATGTTGACAAGCATCTAACGAGACCAACCAGTGAGGATAGGCACTCAGGATTGATCAGTAATAACCAAATTAGATTGATGTGCTTATACATACCCAAAAGGTCATTGATTGCAACTGTCAAGTTTTTGCTTGGGGGTAAAACATCCAGACTACTTCGTGTTAATTTAATTGAATAAAAATGTTCAAAAGTATGAACTATTTTTTGGGGCCTCAAAAATGGGATAAATATTAAAAGATCGTGAGAACTATTGGTCTGGATTTATGATGATGTAATGCTGAAACATAAATGGCACCAAAATGATTGTTAACTGCCAAATGTCATTGATATTGTTTTTTACGTATGTGCAAAAAAAGTCAATGGTTGTATTTTTTTATCTTGGGAAAAATTATCCATACATATTTGTATCCATTATTAAAAAAATAAGTATTTAAGGGATGGTTAGGACATGACGTGTAAATTGTCTTTTCTTTAAAAAATGGGCGTAAATCCTAAAAAAGTGCCCAATGTGGGTTTTAAATTTTAATTTGTTTTACTATGTAATTATATTTTGTTTCAGTTTTTCTAAACTGGACAGTAATTTAAAACAAAAAACGATTTTAGAATTACTAAAATTCCTTGAAATTGGGAAAATATTTCTAAAATACATGTCTCTTTGGAAAACTGTTTCATAAGGAATTGTGATTAAATATAAGATAAAGGGTTCAATAATCTATCTCGAATTGTTTAACTTGTTTAATTGAACCTTTTTTAAATAAAATAAAATACAAAAAATCAAATTTTAAAAATGTTTACCAAAAAATTGGAGAACAGTGATATATTGGAAATAAAAGAGACTACATCTGCATCATCCATTTATTTGTTTAAATCCATTATGCATCACAAAGGCGCAAAGTATACAAATGTCAAGACTGAATATTGATTTAGACTTTTCTCGATTAATTTAACATTCTCACTTTTGATGTGAAAATAAAAAGGGAGAAAAATTAAAAAAAAAAAGAAATTTACCGTTTGTGCGAATAGACTTGCAATTTTGTCCACTTTGTCGGTACGTAAATGGAATAAACAAAATACATATAATTTGTTACAAGATACATAATAATAAATACTCAAAAAACATTTATCCTATACTATAGTATAGATAACAGATAAGAATAATATCTATTTACTAACATAGAAATGAAAGAAATTAGCGATTTGTTTTGGAAGAGGCTTTCTTTTAATAATATAAAAATCATTTTTCTTGTTAAAAAAAAAGCAGGAAAAAACAGATAGTTCATAAAATATATATATATTCGTAAAAATCTCTAAAGTAATAATAGTAAATAAGAAGACTGATTTTTTTTCCCTTTAATAATTAAAATTACATACAATATAAAACTACTCCCTATATATAATTTTTTGTAAATTTTTTAAATGAAAAATGCACTACCAGGGTTTTCATACATTTTGGCAGAATAACATAAAAAAAAGTTTTGTTTCTTTAAATATTTTCCTCAATAATTGACAGCGGCTCTGAAATGATGAAGTTTTGGTAAAATGATTTGGCAAGGGAAGAAGCGATGGGCTGTTTAATCACAAAAGAACAAAATAAAGAAAAAAAACCGTTTTGCGCTAAATGAGCAAGAATTTTATTCATTTTCAGTACAAAGATGTGTCGATTAGTAATTTTCTCACAAATCATTTTATCAAAAAATCCTTCTCGTTTAAACCTTCACCAACCTTTGTTTTTTTAAATAACAGTCTTTGTTTTATTAAACTTATTGGACAAATATTTTTTTTGTTATAGTTATAAAGCATTTTACACTAGCCAAAACTCGGATTATTAGTAAGAAGATTGTTTTTTTTTGTATTTTTTTACATTATAATTTTTTATTATTCATTTATTTTTTTAGTATAATATAGTAAGATTTTTTTTCTTATTTTTTAAATAAAGATATTAAATATATATATAGCAAATATTATAATATTTAAGATTAAAAAATGTATGCATTCTAAAACATGTCGGAGCTGGATTTGAAAAGCTGTCGGTTCGTGACTGAATCATCGCTAAGTTATGAGGTATGACATCAACCAAGGACTTGCGTTTTTCGTGAGGGAAGAACCACCTGTAAGACGGAAATTTCCCGAGTGGTTCTCTTAAGGAAATGACCAGTTTTCCTGTCATATATGATTATTTGTTATCCAAAAGGTTCGGTAATTTATCTGAAAAAGTGGTGCCGCTTTTATCTGGTGGTTTGTATCGCCTGGATCGTAAGACGTTACCGGTCGAGAAGGGGGTGTAGAGAAAAGTAAAATGAGCTTCCTTTTTTTTTAGTTTTGTTTTGCTGTTTTCCTTGTCTATTTTAAAGTAATCTACATTTGACGGTCTTCTTTCGCTTCTTTTTGACTTGCAAAGCGGCCCTGGTCGCCGTTTCGAATACCTGTCTGACGCCGTCCTTAGTCTTGGCGGAGCACTCTAAATAGTCGAAAGCGTTGATTTTGTCGGCCATGGCCCGTCCCTCCTCCGGCTTTACCGGTTCCTGCTTCATCTTGGCGAGCTCTTTTATCGTGTTCGGGTCGTTCCTGAGGTCCTTTTTGTTCCCGACGAGTATGATGGGCACGTTTGGGCAGAAGTGTTTGACCTCCGGGGTCCACTTTTCCGGAATGTTCTCGAGCGAGTCGGGCGAATCGATAGAGAAGCTCATCAGGATGACGTCCGTGTCCGGGTATGAGAGCGGACGGAGGCGATCGTAGTCCTCCTGGCCGGCCGTGTCCCACAGGGCCAACTCGACCTGTTTATTGTCCACTTCGATGTCGGCGACGTAGTTTTCGAAAACGGTCGGCACGTACACTTCAGGGAATTGGTCTTTGCTGAAAACTATCAAAAGGCAGGTCTTACCGCAGGCGCCGTCTCCGACGATAACCAACTTTTTCCTTATAGCGGCCATTGCAGCTCCAAAGCAGAAGACGGACTATTTATAAGACGAATTGGGCCACGCCTTAATATCTCTCGCTCTCCGGACGCGATTCTAATCAAACGTATCCGACTTCGACCTCCGCCCGTAACAACAGAAATCTCCGGTTCACCGATCTATCGTTTATTAATGACTATTTCTCCTTATTTAGTCGAGCTTTCCGTCGTCCATTGTTTTCGCACAGAGACTCGACACACACAGGCAACTCCCACCACTGCTAACTAGAAGCATTCGGGTTCGACGGCGGCCAGCTGTTGTTGCCAGTGCCGGCTCGATCGAGGGCTCGCCGCCAGGGCGCATCCTCGCCACATCCCCACCACAGCCTCGCATTTCCCCTTTCATGGTCACCACCCTGACCGGGTTCCCGCTCAAAATATGAAACCGTCCAATTTCAACGACCTGCACAAAGGCTCATTCCCGTCCACAAAATCATTTTTCATCCCTCTATACGGGGGTCCCAAGTACTGTGATCCGCGGCAAACTTCGAAAAAAGTAATAATTACATAAATAAACATATTGTAGAATGAATAAATACAATTAAAAAACTAATAACAATGATTATTTGGAGATCATGAGATGCGGTGTTGTGTGATGTAGGTTTAGAAAAACATTTTCTTTATTGTGCCAACGTTTCGATCTTTATTTAGATCATCTTCGGAGCTCAAAGATTGTGTCATGGTCGTGTTGCGAGTGTGTGCATCTCACGATCTCCAAATAATCATTAATTAACGTTCTAAACACTACTCAGTAATAACAATGAGTAGTGAAAACGAAAGGTTTTTTATATTTGACGGTACCAGCGGTCATTGTGTTCTGAACAGACACGTTTTCAGCTACGAAATAAATGCCAGCTTGTTGTAAAAAATTTTTAGAGTCTGTTCTAATTATTAGTTATTTATTGATTCGTGAGGAGCGGTCAAAAATGAGTCATATTTATCAGATATTTTTGTTAAATGAATGAGATGTCTTTCTTTGCATGGGAAGAGTATCACAACTTTCGATGCTGACAAGTTCACACCTTCAAAAATACCGTTTTTGGTTGAATCCGTTGAGAAGGAAGTGGTAGAGGGTTTTCCTTTGTTAATTGATTTTTTTTAAAAGGAAACAAACTGGTGCTTGCATACGGCACGTTGATTGATGAAATATATGAACAACTTTGAAGTTGAGAGATGTCCTTTGAACACTACTTCCCAACAGCTCGAGATACAATGCTGCTAAACCATGAATGGGTCTTCAAACCCTTTTCAATTTCGACAAAGCCAACCAGTATATCTTCAAGTGAATACGAATGTTTGATAGACATTACTTCAGACTCCACCTTAAAATCTACTTTCGATTCTGAAGCCCCCATTTTTAGCTCCGTCTGGTTAACAAAAAAGTTCAATTGCTCCATGAAAAAGCAAAATGTGTTCTTCTTCCATTTGTTAAAACTTACCTAGCGAATCGGAATTTCTATCTACAGCCACCATAAATAAATACCGAATATAAAAAAACACATTATATATATAAAAATTTCAAAAATTAAACTCAACATATACAAATTGTTCAGGCTCAAAAAAACCTCTCTTTTCCCATTGATTCATTAATCATTAATGTTCAAATTATTTTTGAATTTGGGTTGTTTTACATACCATTTGGTTATGCTCTGTTCAATTTGATTTTTGTAAATAAAGTTAAGTACGTAAATCTAATGCTTGTCTTCATAGTGATACCCCCTCCATCACTTAATTAGGAATCGACTGGCTAATTTATAAACTTTAATATACTATATATTATAAGTATCTAATTTTAAATACTTGAATGAGAGGGGTCCGCTGGCTAAAAAGTGTGGGATGTGTTTAATGTTTTTTATTATGCTTACCTGACCTACAGAAGGGGAAAACAGAAAAAAATGGCCCTAGAAGAGAACCGTGAGGAACATCTTAGGTGGCAAGAAATTGGTTAGATATTGCAGAACTCAATTTGACAATTTGATATCTACCAGTATGGTAATCAGATTGGAGAAGAGTTCCATGGACCCCAAGTTGTTATATTTCTTAAATAAGCAAATCCGATCAATTGCCTTAGAGAAATCTAGGTAACTTGCATCTACTTGATATTCAAATAACGCTGTTGCGTTTTACAAAAATGTTTATTATTTTAACTAACTTAAATATTAAATGAAAAGTTATTCATAAAACACAACATACGATTTAAATAATGTAAAATACAGTTAAATTAGCTTTATTTATTAGTCATTACTTAGGATAAACTGACTACTAATTGTTTTGTTAAACTATGAGGTAGAACAGGATAATCAGAAATCACCAAATTATAGCTGTTTTGCTAAATTTAAAAGAAACTTTTGTCTTATTGGGTACATCAATTTTTTTAGTTTAATCTCTGTCAATTTGTCTAGGAATGCTTAGACAATCGTGATCTAGACGTACAAATATAAACCAGACTAACTTTTTTTAAAATAGAAAAGTAATATTAAGTAATACTCCACGGAGTGAAACCAGTTCACAATTTAGAAATTTAATAAGGAAAAACACGCTGTACTTTAATGTAAGTGTTGATGTAATTCAAAAATTTAAAATATAATAATGCTATAAAAATAAAATTATTGTAGGCGTCTGAGGGAGGTAGTAAAATAGTACTTTAATCAAGTCAGATTTTTATACTTTTTTGCTAAACACCCCTGGCCTGTACACCCAAAAATAACACCAGGTTATACAACTAGGACAAAAAATAAATAAATAAAATAAAATAATTTTTATAAAACTTTTTCTTTAGAATTTTAAATAAGAATGACTTTTCAAGTATCAAAGATAAGAGAAGATAGTGATATGAGTCAAAACTGAGATTGCAAATGTCCGTTTGATGAGTGTTGCAAAATATCTTTTATTACTTCACTATCACGACTTTTATTTCATACAGTTAATTGACAATATTAACAAGGAAATTTGGTTTACGAGACTCGTTTGGATGAACGAGGAAGTTGGTTAGAAGAGAAATGAAGGGTTTGATGCTATTCTTGAGATCACTCAAGAAGGAAGTGAGTAGAGTGGTGATGTCATGTGTAGGAGGAGGTTTCGCCTGAAATGCCGTGGTTCCATGTGTGGCTTGATCATATGAAAACTGCTGTGGCTGTGGCCGCGGAGTTGGATGATGATTCCTAAGGTCTGGGAAGGCGTTCGGTCCAGGCGGTGGTTGATGTTCCCTTCTGTGTGCGGGGGATTCATGAAAGGAGTGAGGTTTCTTTAACCTCTGTAGTTATTTATGAACCGTGCATCCCTTTTAATTTGTACCTTTAAAGCACACTCTTGACTGGAATATCTATCCCTCTCTTTGGCGCAGGTTTCAGTGAAACGAGCGCACGCACATTTTACGTAGTTGGTCTAGTATTGACAGTAGGCCTTAGAACGACCATACTGCTCACATCATTTCCACCAAACGATTTCTTTTCTCTTATAAGGTTCCTTTACTCTAATTTTAGTGTTGAGGAGCGTGTCTAATTAAAAGATCCCTGGATTAAAGTATGATTGAGTTGAAAAAATGGTGTCATGAGTGAGTCTCCAATCCACGACCTCCGATCAGTACCCCGGCGCTTCTACCATTTGAGCTTGTGACGTCTGTCCTCAAGACACCAACCAATCATCCCAACCTACAACATTTTTGCATTTTCCTCTTTTGTGCCAATATCCAAATATCGTGTAATCGCATTAGATTCTCGGCGATATGTGAATTAGCTACGAGGTTAGTGAAGTACGGGTTTTTTAAGCAATTATATTAATATGTATATTTTAGTTGGTCCTATTAGCCAAAATAATTATTTTAATTGATTTATTATATCTTATGCAAAGGATTTTTGAGTTGAAAAATGAGTTCCACGAGATTAATAAAATAAATTATTTATACTAATGAATAGAGGAAGGATTAAGAGGTACATCATTTGAAGAACTTCGACGGGTTACCGACCAGGGCTTTTTCGGGTATTAACAGATTCAGGTTCTTTTTCTATTTGTCACTGGGATGGATATATTATATATAAAATGTATTTTTTTAATGAGTATATTTATCCATTTAACAGTTTTTTTTTGCCATGTTTCAGTGTATTCGATCCAGGACAATATGCCTCCGCGTCAAGAGAAGGAGCGCAAATCGACTGGGTGAGTAACCGTACAGTTTTTAAAAGTTATATTTTCATGTTCGTTAACGCATTAACCGTCTCGAGATAATCCCCACTGATTGTAACGAATGTATATTATCATCAGTTCTGTTTTGAAGATCGTTTTTCCGAACGAGCTTCATTTTCTCTGGGCGTCTTCGTATCAAAAATCTTCCCCTATCACGATTGATCTTTATAAGATTTTACATCTTGCTTCATATTTATTTTTTGGTTTGAAGGAATTTTATTTTTGTCCAAGACTTTGGGTTTTGTCTCCATTATTTTTGTTGCAAAATCGGATGTCCATATTATTGTAAATCTACAAAAACATACTGGAGTTAATTTTATATTTTGTCAAATCTGGAATCAAACACTTGATTTAATGATTATTTTAAGTTATCTACTTTTTGAATAGGTATTTTCCACGGTTCGAGATTATTGGCAGTTTGATATGAGATGTCACAATATTAAAAAATAAAATAACAATATGAGATTTTAATATTAATTTTAAATTTAACAAAGTAGTGATAATTTTCGCGTTGCTACTTTTCGCCTGTTTGAAATCTTTGTTAAGGATTTTACGGAACTTGACTCCATTACAACGAGGCGACGGGTTGAACCTCGTTTAATTAGCATTGTAACATTAAGATTATCATTTCTGAATCTCATATTCATCTAAATAGCTAGATTACACTTGCTTAAATTCATTAAACACATGTATCTATCAAGTACGATATTAATTGCGCGTTTAGTGCAAAAGCTTATCAAGTTCATGAGCCTGTTTCGTCTTCTGATCTTGTCGCTTTTTCAAAAATTTTCGGCGTATTCTACTGTCGAAAGAAAAAAATCTGAGCTGTTTCTAAGCATATGGAATAGAAAATATATTTCTTCTTTTACCCTTGCTTTTTGAAATTGACTTCCTTTGAATATTCATGACTGTGATTTATTCATCCATTGGTAATTCTAAGATATGCAAGAAAAATTTTCAACAAACAAAAAATATTTATAATCTCCAATAGTTGTAAGACTCTTAAGATAAGGTGTCCTCGGTAGAAGGGCATACGTATTGAGTGAATTAGCCCTGGCTCTGCAAATTTCTAATCACAATAATTTTACTTTCGGTTCGAGGACATTGAGGTTTAGAAGGAAATTAAAAAAAAGGCCTGGAGCTTGAAAGTTTCTTTAAGATTAAAAAGAAAATCTCCAAGCTTTATTATTTTCATGTAAGTCCAAACCGAAATTTCTCTCTTGGCGACCAGGATTGGAAAATCCTGACACGACATTAATCATAGGACATTGCCCAGTAGACTACCGTTTGAAAAAGATGGGCGAGGAAGATAAATGTCGGTTCGGTAATTAGGAAGCAGAAATGGTAGAGCACTGTGTCCTATATTTGAGGGTTTGGCCGGTTCCTAACCTCAGTTGATAAATAATTATGAAAAAACATGCTCTCTTTTTAAAATTATATACTGTGCTAATTTTATCAAGGTTTTTGGCGTGTTTGCATGAAAAATAAACTTAACATATTAGCGTTTTCGTCTAAATTTCATTGAATGGACCATTTTAATCTTAACGATTATGTTAAGTGCCTCTACTCATTAAGGGCTAATTTCGTCAAAGTAATTAATAATAATCCAGTAGAGAAGTTGATTAGATTAGATTATGTAGTAGCTGGGTCCTTTACGACCTGTGCACCACGACCAGTATTGGTCTATTGTGTATAACCAGTTTTATCCAGAGCTCCTTGTTTAGCTTGAGGCTTTTAGTCAGACCCCAATGCTTTTTCAAGGGCTCCCGTGTGCATCCTTCAGGCCCTGGCTATTCCTCTCCCAGGATTAGGAATCTCAACCTACATAGGCCTTCGCACCAACAGAGAACGTGTTCCGTTGTTTCTTCTTCTTCTTGGCAATATCTGCACAGGCTTGTTTCTGCCACTCCGAGTCTATACGTCTGCCTTCGGAGTTTGCAGGGTCAAGTTGGCAGTCCGACTATTCTAGCCCTAGCACGCCATAGATTTAGTAGTTCTGCCGTTAGTTTCTGCGATGGTCGTTTGATCCCGGGCTTCATTCCCTTTGAACGGAGGACTTATTATTAATTAATTGTCTAATGGATCCGCGTTTTTGGTAGTTTGGTAAGCCACAAAAGGATTCAGGGCAAATAGGTGTCCTCATTGAACTTTCCTTGTTCAGGTTGTAGTATGTCCTTTTGGAACCTTTATTACTATTAGTATGGCAGTCATGCCATTTTTCGAAAATTCGAAAGGTAGGTTGAGATGGGAAGTCGGTGTCCGAGTGGATCGAAGTCACGATAGCTCAAGTGGAAGAGCAGCGGCGTATTTAGCGGGGTTCGAATCCCGCTCGTGACACCAACTTTTTCATTTTAACCAATACCTTACATAAAGATTAATTAATTGAAAGAAGTTATATGGTCAATCGACCACGAAATATAATGGCTTTATTACTATGTTGAAATGATCAAGATACTTTTAGGCACTTAGAAAAGTTATGTCACTCTAATGGGTTAATTGTTAGTTAAATGTTAAATGTGAGGTTGCCTGTTCGGAAAATTGTATATATTTCAAAATTTTCAACTTTTGCAAAATAAATGGGTTTAATTTTGGTAGATGAATTTAAACTTGTTGAGTTGGTAAATTTGAATTTTCCGGCTATCTGGGGATCTAGTGATATTTCAAATTCTTAATCTTTTGTATAATGGTAATTGTATAGTAATAATTTATTATAATAAAATTGTGCAGCTCTTCCAGTGCAAATAGCGTAATTAATAAAATTATGAATTTCTGTTGATGCTCTTTGATTTGATATGTCATTTCTACAAAAATCTCACCACTTTCCAATTTTCATTGCAATGTTTTAATCAAACATTGCCATTTAAAAGAATCACTGCATTAAAGATGTGTGTAAACATTATGTTTAAAAACCTTTGTTTTATAGTACAAGCGGACATAAAATTAATGATAAATGAAATCGATTAGATTTCAAATTGTCGTATTCACCAGGATATACGTGCCCTGAATACCCTGGCTGATTAAGGGCAGTGACCTAAATGACCAATGCCGATGTATCTACCACAATCCATTATCTTTTTCAATAAATGTTTGAATTGTTTATTATCGTGTCGATTCCGCCGTGATGATATTAAAATTCAATTCTGAGATTCCGAAAGATTACAGAAATCGTTGGTGTTCTGTTTGACCTGTCTGGCGCAGACGCCCAAATGCTTATTAAATTAAACTGCAGGAACGCGCATCTACATTAATTATACTAATTGTTATTATGTAACTAAAACCGGCTTTTACCGGTGTACATAACACGGAGGGAATGAATTTTCATAAAATAACTCTTAGGAGATAGGGGATGTTCCTTTTTTTCTCCCTCTCTCTTTCTTTTGTTTGGTAAGAGGGTTGTCTCTGCCTATTGTCCCGTTCAAAATTGGTAGTCGTACACATTTCTTTGTTCATTTTAAGTGGTTTATATGGTTAAGGAAAAATATGTTAGGTAAACACATTCAATTATTTGTATTATGAGCTAGAGCCAAACTAGACTGTACATCCAATTTCACCTCAGCAACATAAATTTACTAATTATCATCAGTTAAAAAAACAGTATACACAAATTAGTTCAAAACTTAATTTTATTTTTATCTTTTAAAACTAGAGTTTATTGTTCAACATCTAAGGTGATATTTACCAACCATTCAATGTAAAATTACAGAATTTTAAGAATTTAAATTTATTCGTTTTAGTTCCTCGCCGAACCATCAATCGTGTTAATCAACACTTGCGTAATGTAGACAGTTTATTGCAAGACATAATAATTTTGTGCAAAGTTTAGTTAAAATTTCAGTTCATTTGAATTAAAAATGCATTGGAATTTTGGATCAAAATGATTATTGAGTCTCTTAATTCAATACAGGAAATAATCCAATTAATTAAAGTTTTAAGTTGAGATAAAAAAGTCAGTGTCACGAGCGGGATTCGAAGTCACGATAGCTCAAGTGGTAGAGTAGCGGCGTATCAAGGCGAAGGTCGTGGGTTCGAATCCCGCTCGTGACCCTGCCTTTTTTATCTCAACTTAAAACCTTTATTAATTGGATGATATTAATTGGTCAAGCGGACCACGAAAAATAGTGAACAGGAAATAATGAAGTATTCGAAGTGCAACTTTAGGCCGACAATTACTTTTAAGTGCTGGTACATAAAAAGTCATATTTTTAATTTCTCATGCTCTCCTTACTAATGAAACGATCGGTGAAACGATTTTATTATTGCCATATTTGAAGATACCTAGGATACTTACAAAAGCCATATTTTCAATTTCTTATCTTCTACTTTTTAACGATTGAAAGAATTTTATCCTGACTAAATTTAAGTTTCGTTGGTACATAAAATACGCCAATAATAAATTAAATTTCTTATCTTCTTATTATTATCGAGTGAAACTTTTTTATTCTGACCTAATTTGAAGGTACGTTGGTATTACTTTGGTATTTTAAACCAAAATGATTATTGAGTTTTAACTCTTAATTCAAAACAGGAAATACATCTTCATACTGATACAAAAATTTACAGATTTCTAAATGTGAGAGATTGGATGAATATACTTGTACACCAAGAAAACCTCTTTAAAAACAACTTTAAATCTAAAATTCCAATTAATGGTAATGCATTTTAGCTTTCTGGCACTGTTCTGTAGAAAATGAATAAAACGCATTTATTGTTCCGTTCTTTTAGTTTTAGAAAACAATCTAATATAAGTGAATGATGATTTTCTTTGAAAATGTATACAATTTGAGCTTAAATTCAGTCAATTTTTAACTAATATTGTATTAGTATTTATTCATATATACAAAATCTTTGAGCAGACAACATTAAAACAAGACAATTACATTAAAAATAGTTAGCACTACTTAATTTTTCCAATAGTTCTACATTTTCTTGACAGATAAACTAAGTCTAATGAATTAATAATTTTTGTGGATTAT